TTTGTTGAATCTGTGTTTTGTATATATGGCTACACCACTCACCCATATCACCAGTATAACTGAAGCCCTGATGCCTGTTCACCCATTACTTCCCCTTCTCTTCTCTTCTTGAATTGTTTCCTTCTGTCCTACTCCTCTCTAAACACTGAGATCCAGGGTGATTTAGGCATTCCCCCTTTTACTACATTTCCTCATTCAGTATTCTATATACAACAGATAAGTGATCATTTGGTGTTTGCTTTTCTTCTTCTGGCTTACTTCACTCAATGTGATATCTTTCAGTTTCAACCACAGTACAGCAAGTGGCGTGATTTCATTGCTCCTTGAAGCTGCATAGTACTCTATTACGTATATATCTTGGTTATTTGCTTGGGTATTTGTTTTGTGAGTGTTATTCTTTGTATCCTGACCATATGACTCTCTCTCTCTCTCTCTCTATATATATATATATATATATATATATATAGTGCATAGCAGGTCGGGTGTTTGCCTTGCATGCGGCCAACCCAGGTTCAATTCCTCTGTCCCTCTCGGAGAGCCCGGCAAGCTACCGAGAGTATCCCGCCCACATGGCAGATCCTGCAAAGCTCCCCGTGGTGTATTCGATATGCCAAAAACAGTAACAACAAGACCCACAATGGAGACGTTACTGGTGCCCGCTTGAGTAAATAGATACCAATGGGACAACAGTGCTACAGTTTTATACATTTATTTTATCAGATACTTTGTTTTTGTTCAACTGGTAAACTCTTTATTTTCTAATTTAAATTTCAGTTCAGTTTTTCTTTGCCTAGACTGTGTGTAATCAGCACAACATATTGACAAATTAGACAGTTTCCCCTCTGCATCTCTTTTCCAAGAGTCTCTTTCACTTTCAGCTGTTGCATTTGTCCTAAATGCTGCTTTGTTTTGTTTTGTGAGGGCTGGCCTGGTGGTTCCCTAGAGTCTACTCCCAGCAGTGTTCAGAGGATCATGCAATACTGGGGATTTCCTTACCACAGGCTTTGGCAAGGAAAACATGCACCCCAGTGTTTGCAGTATCTTTGGGACCACTGTCCTAATTTCTGGTCCTGATTGTTCAGGCCAGAAAAATTTTAGGGGTTTCTTTTGTCGTTTCAACTCTTCTGTGTTTTTGATGTCAACTGTTGTCGACTGATGTCAACTGTTACTCTCAGGCTAAAAATCTAAACAAGTAATAAGTCTTGTTTTTTTTTCTTTTTGGGTACACCCGGCAATGCACAGATGTACAGGGGTTACTCCTGACTCATGCACTCAGGAATTACTCCTGGCGGTGCTCAGGGGACCATATGGGATGCTGGAAATCGAACCTGGGTTGGCCGTGTGCAAGGCAAACGCCCTACCTGCTGTGCTATCACTCTAGCTCCAAGTAATACATCTTATGCAATTACCTCCACTTTCAATGTTTTTCCAGAGTTGGCTTGCTTTTGTAACTTGCCAGTGTTCTGGTAGATTTAATTTTTTTTTTCACTGAGGTCCGAATGTTTAATCTGTGGAAGAACCAGATCTAGTAAGATTATTTTTTTTTGTCATTGTAAAAAAAGTCTTTAAGAAAAAAAAATAGTTAGCAAAACTTTTTAACAAGTTTTACTTAGCAAAATACACCCAAAAAGAAATCACAGTACAAAGGAAGTTTTAAGTCAAGGCCTCACCACTTCCTAAAGCATTAATATTGCGTCTCAGTTTTCAAAACTAACTTTTTAAAATTTTAAATAAATAAAATTTTAAATAAAAATAAACTAGAATGAACAAAATAAGAAATGTTCCTGTTGGAATTAGGGATCTAGTAACTTATATTTGCAAAAAAACAGAACAGAACAAAACAAAAAAAAATCAACCAACAAAACAAACAGAAGCATATCTCTCCAATATGTTCTGGTGAAGTGGTGTAAAAGATTCACACTGAACGTATTCAAAACTACTTTATCTAGTAAGCTTTTGTTTCTGTTTTTGTTTTTTGTGGTGCTGGCGATTGAACTTAGGTCTCATATATACAAGGAACACTTTTCCACATGGCAACATCCAGCATAAGGGCTGAATCAGTCACAGAGGAAGCAAAATTCATTGTGATTCTTTCGTATTTCTTATCATCTAGTTCTTGTTCTCCATCTTTCATGTAAAAGGCTTTCTAAAAAAATTAAGGCATTCTGTCTTGTCTTCCATTGTTCTTTATGAAGTTCTATGTGTTACATCATTCCTCTCAAAGGATGAGTTTCATTGTTGAGTAACCAAAGAGGGACTCACTATTTCCTTGGATGGCATCCAAATAGCATCTTACTTCTTGAGGACATTCGATTTTTTTTTCCTGGAAAATAACCTTCCAGTTCCTTAGTGAGGTAAATCCTCACAGATGTCTATCAAGCAGATGTGAAGAAGGGCCTCTCAGTTCGGCATGTAGAACCTGCATTCATCCTCGGGTATTTGGCTGGCAGCAACACTGCTCCTGGGTTTGGTTTCTCTGGAGTAAACCTTACCAACCTTACTCAGGCTGATGGATGATGCTGCTGGCTGTATGTGAGGGTTCATCCAAATATTCTTAAACCAATTTTTTTTCCAATTGAATTCAATTGTTTTCAATTCCACTTCATCCCTAAATGCTCTACCACTGAGCTATACACCCCCCCCCCCCCCCCCCGGCCCCTGAGTACGCTGGAGTGAAAGCACAGCAGGTAGGGCATTTGTCTTGCATGCAGCTGACCCTGCCGACCCTGCCAACAAGCTACCCCCATGCCAAAGCTTGGCAAACTCCCCGTGACATATTTGATATGCCAAACACAGTAACAACAATTCTCACAGTAGAGACATTACTGGGCCCGCTTGAGCAAATTGATGAACAACAGGAGGAGAGTGCTACAGTGCTGGCAACTGCAATGTCCTGAGCTTTTCCAGAGCTGTATTGCATTGGATAACTTCTAGTTGGCTTCTGGAGCAGTCCTTCCTTCCTTCCTTCCTTCCTTCCTTCCTTCCTTCCTTCCTTCCTTCCTTTTTTAAATTTTTGGCTCAAGCCCACGATGCTCAGGGGTTACTACTGACTCTACACTCAGGAATTACCCTGGCAGTGCTCAGGGGACCATATGGGATGCTGGGAATCAAACCTAGGTCAGCTGCGTGCAAGGCAAACGCCCTACCCACTGTACTATCGTTCCAGCCCCCCCTCCCTGCCTCCTTTCCTTCCTTCCTTCCTTCCTTCCTTCCTTCCTTCCTTCCTTCCTTCCTCCCTCCCTCCCTCTCTCCTTTCCTTCCTCTTTCTTTTTTTCTTTCTTAGCTTTCTTTCTCCTTCCCTCTCTTCTTTCTCTTTCTTTCTTTCTTTCTTTCTTTCTTTCTTTCTTTCTTTCTTTCTTTCTTTCTTTCTTTCTCTCCTTCCTTCCTTCCTTCCTTCCTTCCTTCCTTCCTTCTTCTTCTCTTTCTTTCTTTCTTTCTTTCTTTCTTTCTTTCTTTCTCTCTCTCTTTCTTTCTTTCTTTCTTTCTTCCTTCCTTCTCTTTCCTCTGATTTTGAACCACACCCAGCAGAGCTCAGGGCTTACTTCTGGCTCTGTGCTCAGGGATCATTCCTGGCAGGAATGGGTTTGGGGGACCAGATTTGGGGGACCATATGAGGTGCCTCCAACCGAGATAGTGCATAAGACAAACACACACCCTGCTGTACTATTACCCCTGCCCTGTAGCAGTGGTTTCGGCAAGTTTATTCTTGACCTGCAGGCATCAAAAGGTTAAAAATAGCTTTCCCATTTCCCTATCCCTAAACAGTCTTGCTCTGCTTTTTTTCTGTTGTGCTAGTTCATTGTCATTTATCCATTACCAGTTGCTGCTACATTACTGGTAGAAAGTCTATTGAGGGCTCCACTCAATTGGTCCATGTCCTTTTGCATTATCTCTCTCTTTTTTGTTTTTGTAAATTTCTATCTGAGTGTTGTTTTGGGAGGAAGATAAATGTCTATTTTCTCTTCCTTGGAAATTCAGTCACCAAGCCTTTGGGAGCAGGGTCGGTTCATACTTTTCATTCTTCTCCTTCTCCTTCTCCCCCCCACCCCCGGCCCTCCCCTCCATCTCCTCCTCCCTCCCCTCTCCCTCTCCTCCTTTCTCCTTCCTTCTTCCTTCAATGAATGTTTACTTGTACCTCCACAGGTAAAATCAAAAAGGTGATAAAAATTCCCCTTAGGAACATAATATTATCTATGGTAATCCCCCCCCCCCTCCGCGTCCTTCCAAGAGTTTTGGGATCCCCTAGAATCTAGACGGTCCCATGGCTTTAGTGGTAATATTTTATATTGATTTATATTTGGGCTGGAGCGATAACACAGCGAGTAGGGCATTTGCCTTGCACACGGCCGACCGGGGTTCAATTCCTCCCTCCCAGTCGGAGAGGTGGGGGGCAAGCTATGGAGAATATCCCGCCCGCATGGCAGAGCCTGGCTAGTTCCCCATGGTCCCCATGGTGTATTCGATATGCCAAAAACAGTAACAAGTCTCACAATGGAGACGTTACTGGAGCCTGCTGGAGCAGATCGATGAACAACGGGAGTGCTACAGTGCTATATTTATATTGATTTTACATTGATTGAGTCAAATTGCATGTACAGCCAACTTTCTGTTGTAATTCCTTAGGGCACGCTGAGAAGCAATAACACTTAATAAAATTTTATCGATAGCGCCCACTATGTTTGGGACAGTATTTTCTGCGCACGTCGCCTCAGCTCATTCTGCAGCTGAGAAGGACCGGTGGTCACTCCGGTCTGTAGGCGAGAGCTGGCACCCAGTAGAGGCTAAGCACTTGTGTTGGAAACACAGCAGGTGCAAGAGCCGGGGACTCAAACCCTGGAGTGTCTGCCCAGTGCTCACTCAGCGCCCGGCACAGTGCTCAGACTGGTGGGTTTTGAAGCTCTGGCACCCTCCCCAGAGGTGCTGTGTACCTTCAGGGCTGCTTCCCGTTCGCCACAATCAACCAAATCACAACCAAAGCAACGCCCGTCTCTAATCCCCAGGCAGGGCCAGTTCCCCGACACCCCGCCCTACTCTGCATCAGACTCCTGCTCTCCGCCCCAGGACCCAGGTGAGTGCCCCGGGTCGCCCCCCTCTTCCCCCGCGCCCCACGCGTGCCCCCTCCTCGCGGGCCGCGGGGGGTCCACCAAGGTGCCCTTCTCTCTGTGTATCCCCTCCCCATCCCCCAGGCGCATGCTGCCGGACTCTGAAGCCCGCAGACCCCAGCACGCCCTCTGCTTTCGGCCTGGCGGCGGCTGCACCCACACCGCACCCATCGCACCACCCCCAGACCTCGGCTCCGACCGGGGACCACCCGCCCCTGCACAGCGGCTTCTCCAACTGCTACGCCAACACCAGCCACCCCGCCGCCGCCTCCAGCCTGGACCTGTCCACCGCTTCCCATCCGGGGCTACACGGCTCTGGCCACCCGCAGCGTCTCTGCTACAGCTCTGGGTAAAGGGCGAGAAACTTGGTTGCTGCAAGAGCCGCAAGAGTCCCCCAGACCCGCGCCGGCAGCCGGCAGCGCCGACGCGGGTGACCGGCACGGTCCCTCCAGCAGATGGCAGTGTTGAGACAGGGATCAGGCCTGCCGGGGCTCCACGCCCGCCTACCTCTGGGCTCTTGGCTTTACAGACTCTTGGCCCCATTAAACCCAGGTCCTCCTTCAGTAGAAAGTTAAGTGTCAGGAATATAGAGGGAGATTCTGGGTGAAGGCACAGCGCTGCGCAGCCAGCATGCTCACGGGACTGTGTGAAGGCGAGCGCAGAAAATGGTGTCATGCAAGCCTGGATTCTGGTCTTTTCCTTCCTAGTTAGCCTTTCTTCCCTCCTCTGCTTCTAAAGGCCACAAAACGGAGGTTAATTATCTTTTTTTTAATATTAAGGGGTAACCTATTTACCTCTATTTTCATTTTCTCTAATTTGAACGAGTCCTCGGTCTGTGTTGTCAGTTTACTTCTCAGCTAGGTGAATCCTAGACCCTGGGATAGGAAAGATGATGTTTCAGGCTGGTAGGGTTTGTAGAAACTTAACTGATTAGAATAGGGAAGGCCAAAAGCAGAGACTTGGACAGTTCAACTTGATTTACAGTGACAGAGGGCACAGAGTGATCCTAACCTTTGTTTTGGTCTCCTGATTTCAGAAGCTCACTGCAAGCAACCAAGAAGAGAAAGTGCACAGATGCACTGGAAGACACCAGGGACTGTCATGGGTGGGCCCTCTGCTCCAGACCAAGTGAGCCAACCACAGGGCCCTTGCTGGCTTAACTATTAAATCAAGGTTCTCCCCTTCCTCCCTTTCTCCTTCCTCCCTCCCTCCCTCCCTCCCTCCTTCCCTCCCTCCCTTCCTTCCTTCTTTCCTCCCTCCCTCCCTTTCCCCTCCCTCCCTCCCTTCCTTCCTTCCTTCCTTCCTTCCTTCCTTCCTTCCTGCCCTTCCTTCCTTCCTTCCTTCCTTCCTTCCTTCCTTCCTTCCTTCCTTTCTTCCTGCCCTACCTTTCTTCCTTCCTTCCTTCCTTCCTTCCTTCCTTCCTTCCTTCCTTCCTTCCTGCCCTTCCTTCCTTCCTTCCTTCCTTCCTTCCTTTCTTCCTGCCCTTCCTTCCTTCCTTCCTTCCTTCCTTCCTTCCTTCCTTCCTTCCTTTCTTCCTGCCCTTCCTTCCTTCCTTCCTTCCTTCCTTCCTTCCTGCCCTTCCTTCCTTCCTTCCTTCCTTCCTTCCTTCCTTCCTTCCTTCCTTCCCTTTGTTAATTTCCCCTTCTTGACATAACATTTGTGCAGTTTTGGTGTGATCACTGGAGTGGTCCTAGGCAGAGATGTTCTTCTGTCTCTGATGAAGAAGAATCCCCATTCCATTCATTTTCTGAAACCTCATGGCTCTAAGCGTTGGGGTTCTGGGCCCGCTGCTGTGCACACAACAATGCAGTAGCTTGGTGAAACACGGCTTCAGACCCGGTGGCTGACTTCGGGCCATCTCTGAGGGCCACTAGATCAGAAGAAGAAGTCAGACTCGAGAGGGTTTCTTTGGAGGGGTGGGGACAGGGACTGATGCTTGAGCTTCCCAGACACTTGCTTCTAATTTTGCAGATTTCCAGTGGATATTGGTAATGTTCAAAACCAGTTTCAGCAGCATCATCTGATGCCCACGTGAAAGATTTGCCTTGTTCATTCTCTTATAAAAATATCTGACACATCCTGTTTTGAGCACCTGATAAAGTTGAGAACAAGTTGGATTTACTGAAGCTTTGAAATGTAGGATTTTCGGAGTAAATGCTGTAGCCCTTGCTAGGGAAAGCTTATTGCTCCAGGCTCATCTCAGGAAGCCCTGTAAAGTGCAGGCATGTGAACAGCACCCTAAATTAGGGAACCCGTTAGTTGCCTCTCTTTTATTTCCAGACATCATTTTGGCAAAAGGTCCCAGCAGACCTTCTAGGACTCTGTCCCATGAGGGCTTCTGGGCTCTAGAGATTCATAGCCCTGGCAGGGATGGGATGCTTGTTCAGCTTCACAGGGAGAGGTGGGCCTGCTGGCCTCTTCAGGATGAGTAGCCTTAGCTGTGGGTCCTTTCCCCTTGGAACATAGCCTCACAGACCCGGGAGCATTGCAGCAAATGCCCTGGGCATCCAACCTTGCAGAAATCAAGCATCTTCCAACCTCTTGAACCTCCACTGGGGCCAGCACTTGCTATTGGGCAGTTTTTTCTTCAACCTTAGAAGCACCACATGCAGCTGCAAAAGGAACCCATCAACCTTCCATGTGTGCATGTGTGAGGCCTTGGGGTTCCATTTCTGAGGAAGGAAGGAAGGAAGGAAGGAAGGAAGGAAGGAAGGAAGGAAGGAAGGAAAACACAAGCTGCTAATTAAAGTTCCCTTTCTGCATTTATAATGGAGAATGCACCTTGGTAGGTGAGACTGTGTCATTTGTGCAGGGATCCTTGTATCCAGCCTGCAGCGTTTTCTTTATGATTCTAACAAAAGACTGAGCTCATTCCAACCAGATGAGGGAACTAGTGTTTTGCTTTTCTGCAGTTGAACCGGCTCGTGGGCAAGTATTGGGCAAGTCATGCAAACTTTTCTAAGAGTTTCCTCATCAAAGCCCAATTGCTGCTGGTATCTCTGGAGCTAACAAAAGTTAATTTCCAGCTGGGATGGGTCTCCTCTGCTTGTCCTTGGAGAGGAGCGTTGATTTTGTGCTCGCTCCAAAGGACAGTCATGGAAGTATAGTTGCGATGGAGAGGAAATCGTGAATCTCTGGTTAAAATTCTACTCAAAGGTGACTAAAATGCTGACAGCAGACGATTCACCACAGACAAAAGTCCAGAATGGAAACAATCAGCTTAACTGAAAAGCCAAAGAAAGATGCAAGGCCCACAGGATGCCTCCGAGAGAGGAGGAAGACCTGTGTCAGTCTCGGGCGGGGTCTGGAGTAATGTCTGAAGTCACTCAATAAGGCAGTTCCTTTGCCCAGTTAACTTTGGTCAAAGACTTCAAGATCCTCGTGTGGGGCTCTCGATGAAGTCACACTCAGTTAGGTGCACAGTAGTGCCAAAAGTGGCCCAGAGAGGAGCAAGAGGGTGGGCAGAATCCAGAACCTTCCATGTCTGGGGTGGGGCTCTTAAACTCTTGCCACTCTTCTCCCCTCTTTGCTCAAGAATTTTCACTTGTTCCCAGAAAAGTCAAATAGGTATACAGAGCAAAGATGTACTGATAATAAATTATAAAGAAATGGATTTAAAAATAATCCCCAAATTTGTTTTCACAACCCCATATGGGCCACTGTTTAAGATGCTGGACTCCAGACTCCAACTCTGAGAGAGGTTCTTGGATTCTACAGCTTTGGAGGATTTGGGTTTCAGACACAAAACGACTTTTTAGCCTCCATATGTGTCCTTGGGCCCTTGTCTGAATTTATCTCACTGGAGAGTCAGAAAAAGTGTTTGTCTTGTTTCTCAAGGAATTAAGGACTTGAGGAGTCTTACGTGTTTTTTTTTTATTTTTTGGCTTTTTTGCTTTTTGAGATCAAACAATCATCATCATTTGCCTATTTTCAAGATTATTTTTTTTTCCATTTGAAAAAATTGAAGCACAATGATATATACTTTTACAAAGTTGTTCATGATTGGATTTCAGTCATATAAAGTTCCAACACCCATCCCTTCACCATTGTACATTTCCCACCACCAATGCCACCAATGGTCCCAGTTTCCCTCCTGTCATCCTCCCCCATCCCACTGTCTGCCACTATGGAAGGCACTTCTCTCTCTCTCTCTCTCTCTCTCTCTCTCTCTCTCTCTCTCTCTCTCTCTCATTTTGGCCTTAAAGTTTGCAAAACAGGTAATGAAAGGTCATCAGGTATGTCTCTTTACCTGTGCCCTTCACCCCACATGTACTCTTGTGCAAGCTTCCAACCATTGACCTGTCCTCTTGGCCCCTGTTTAACAAGGCATGGATCTTCTCCCAAAGGCAGGGATTTATTTGTGCTCTGCTGCCTTCACATTTCTGCTCTTCCTTCTCCAGAAACCCTCAGTGTAGCTGAAGGGAAGAGGAAGCCCTGGAAGGGGAAGCCCTGCTCTCTCTCTCTCTCTCTCTCTCTCTCTCTCTCTCTCTCTCTCTCTCTCTCTCTCTTCCACCCAGACTTGTACACTGAACACGTAGTTTCAGGTCTTTACAGTTTCCATCTTTGCTCAGTGAGAGGAAGATGCTGGGCTCCACCAGCCCATTCCCAGGGAAGCCACGATGGGGTGGGGCTACCTGCGTGGCTGCCCCAGTTTCTTGGCTATAATTATGGGGAAAGGCAGGAAAGACCTTGAGGACAACACTGCCCACTGCCACCCTTTCTTTGGGCACCAGGAGGTGTAGCCCTTCCCTCTCTCCTGGCTCTTGGTCCACATTGCCATGCTTGAGTGGGGAAAGGCTGGAGCTTGCTGGCATTTGCACAGGAACACAGTGTTAGTTATTCACACCAGATAGTTACCATGGAGGCCAAGAACAAATCAACTTTCCAAGACTTGTCAGAATAACTGAGTCACCTGGAACTTAAACAAGCACATGTGATAATGACAGTGCCACTAACAACAGCTCAAGGGACTGCAGTTTTAACTCTTGCTGTGGCAAACAGTGCTCAGCACTTACAGACACTAGTCACCAAATTCCCACCATTACCCTCGGAGGTATCATATTGTTACTCACATTTCGTAGGTGAGGAAACTCAAGCTCAGAGACATCAGATCATTTTCCTGAGACTGCAAAGCTATTAAGTGTAACCCAGGTCTTTTTAACTCCAGTCTCCGAGCTCTTGAACTTCCTGTACCTTTTCTCTGGTCTAAATTGTAATTTTTGTTTTGGGACCACAACCTGTGGTACTCAGGGCTTCCTCCTGACTATGCTCCTGGATAACTCCTGGTGGGATTAGAGGACCATATGTGGTGCTGGTGATCAAATTTGGGTCAGTTGCATTTAAGGCAAGCACCCTGCCCACTGTACTATCTCTTTGGTCCCTCTTTTCTCTGTTTGGAAGAGAGGAAGGAAAGATGAAAAAAAGTTACTCATTTTTTTTCTGTATTTAGTATAATTAGGAGAACCTTGGAAGGGTTCTCCAACTTCCTTCCTTCCTTCCTTCCTTCCTTCCTTCCTTCCTTCCTTCCTTCCTTCCTTTCTCCCTCCCTCCCTTCCTTCCTCCCTTCCTTCCCTTCCTTCCTTCTTCTTTCCCTCCTTCCTTCCTTCTTTCTCTCCTTCCTTCCTTCCTTCCTTCCTTCCTTCCTTCCTTCCTTCCTTCCTTTCTCCCTCCCTCCCTTCCTTCCTCCCTTCCTTCCCTTCCTTCCTTCTTCTTTCCCTCCTTCCTTCCTTCTTTCTCTCCTTCCTTCCTTCCTTCCTTCCTTCCTTCCTTCCTTCCTTCCTTCCTTCCTTCCTTCCTTTCTCCCTCCCTCCCTTCCTCCCTTCCTTCCCTTCCTTCCTTCTTCTTTCCCTCCTTCCTTCCTTCTTTCTCTCCTTCCTTCCTTCCTTCCTTCCTTCCTTTCTCCCTCCCTCCCTCCCTTCCTTCCTCCCTTCCTTCCCTTCCTTCCTTCTTCTTTCCCTCCTTCCTTCCTTCTTTCTCTCCTTCCTTCCTTCCTTCCTTCCTTCCTTCCTTCCTTCCTTCCTTCCTTCTTTGTCTCCCTCCTCCCTCCCTCCCTCCCTCCCTCCCTTCCTTCCTTCCTTATTTCCCTTTTTTCTTTCTTTTGCAGGCCAGGTAGCTTTGGGAAGAGTGAGTCCTTGCATTGTCAAATTCCAGAACATTTAACTAGGGAAGATTTTCAGAATTTTAATAAATATCTCCAAAACAGTTGTTTGCAAAACATAAAAAAATATGTATTTGTGTTTAGGTGAGACGTGTGATAGTCCATTAAAACACACTTAATGACATTTGGACTAAAAGCCACCTGTAGCATATCTAGAATTTTTTTTAAAATTAGGAACTCCTCAATAAAACTACTACTAAGAAAGGGAATTGGACGAGTATAAATAAGCCCTGCCACTGTTTCCCACGCAGTGAACTAAGCATGTACTCCTAAGAGTTAGCTGCACATATATTTCTGCATTCCTCTTTACAAACTGTCCTGGGTGCCCAGACACCTAGTGTTTCCCTTCACTTCTGATGTCAGCCATGAATGAGGGGAATGGAGTTGAAGGGAAAGTGAAACAGCATTAGACTTTTCTGTAATAGAGCCTACATAAAAGTTATCAGTGGTTGCACCTCAGAGGCATACTCAAATAAGGCAACTTGCAGGAGCTATGCAGAAACAGGAGATTGCACGTGTAAACTTATTATGTGACATATTTAATATTCAAAAGTCATGATTTCATGCAGCGAATACAACATACCAATAAGCTCTTTTCTATCTGTCTTGATGTTAGCTCCTCAAAGTGCTTTCCCTTCTGTTCCGATAGTCTTTCTGCCTGTGCAGTGGACAGGAAATGTGTTCTATTTCTCTTTTGCAGATGAGGGAAATAGGACACAGAGTAAATAAATATCTCATTTCAAAAAACAAGGCAAACCGCAGAATCCCGGTGCTCCAGAGGGCCTGTCTCAAATTAGAATGAATTGGTTGCAATCAACTCAAGCCTGAAGAAATGTAGGACAGAACCTCCAAACCTCAAACTGCCTCAAGCTACAACTAACAAATAAAATCAGGAACTTTTTTTTTCTGCCTCTTGTAGCCCCAAATTTAGAATTGGATCTCAGAACTCAGATCACACACCGGAACGGGACCCCCTTCATTCTAAACTCAGCCTGCTACCCTCTGACTTTCTGTTAGGACAGGCTTGCCCTCACATCCCAAAACCGTGCCAGAGGCTCTGGGAAATGTGCTTGCAGGTCTTCGTTTCAGAGAAGAGGCGGCTTCTTTGAGAACCCTTGCCCAGAAACACTGGGATCCTCTTGGCTTGGACTGAGTTAGGGCTCAGGTCTGCCTGGCCCAAGAACTGAAAGCTGTTCATCAAGTCCTCACTCTGTACGGCTGATGGCCTTGTCGAGGCTGACTTTAAGCCAAACCGTGTGTAAGGAAAGCAGGTTCTCAAATATAAGCAGGGCTGCAAATACCATCATTTAGTTTCATGTCGGCCAGGTTTCCGCCCCTCATAAATGTTATAGCGAAACGAAGTTGTGGTCTAGAGAGCAAGTACATTGGACTGGGAACTGGCCTTGCCTGTGGCTGAACTGAGTTTGATCCCTGGCATTCTGTATGGTCCCTGGAGCCCTGCCAGAAGTGACCCCTGAGCGCAGAGCTGGGACTAAATCCTGAGCACTGCTGGGTGTGGCCCTAAAACCAACACACACACACACACACACACACACACACACACACACACACACAATGTTGAAAGGAAAGTTCTCGCTGGAGGGCCTGCAGTGCTTGATTGATGGAGCTGACTCTGCACTCCTGAGGCTGGGAGTTAGGGGCTCTGGGACCACCCAGACTGACAGTGGAGAGAGGCGAGGCCAGAACTGGGGCAGCAGAGACGGAGGGCGACCCTCCAATAAGGGTCCATCATGACACCTTGGAGCTCACTCCCCGAACCCCTCCTCGGGAAAGGCCAATCTTGCCTCCTGCCCCCTCTCCACCCGACATTCCCCACACGGTGGCTGGTTCTCATGCCCGGCCTGTTAGCCAACCCTGCGCAGCTGTCTGTGAGTCCTAGAAGAAGTGCTCCAAGGCAAGATCTAACCCGCCTGCTTCTTTGCAGTGGCATGCAGGAGTCACCCCTGTGAAGTGCAAGAGCAGCACCCTGAGGCACCCCACACGAGCCCCACGGACGCCTGCTTGCCCTCGCTGAAGTGGCAGCCGTACCAAAGTGTTCCTTGGCACAGCTTATTAAATGGTCATTATGAAAAACTGTAAGTGGACATAGGGACCCTGGTGGTTGCTGGGAACAGAGTGAGCATAGCAGGGCTGAATCCCAGGGTTTCCCTCAAGTGCTGGGTTCTTGATGCGACCCCCTGGCCAATGGAGATGGATCATCGAGGAAGGGCTCCTCTTCCTCCTTCTGTTTTGCCTCCCAGCAAAAGAACCTGTGGAGACCCTGGTTTCTGGCTTTGCGAAAGCCCTGTAAATGATGGCAGGAGAGGAGATATTTCTGAGCTCATGTGCTTGTTTTTTTTTTTTTTTCTTCTTCTTTTTTTTCCTTTGGATGGGGCTTCCTAAGCAGTGCTCAGGATGTCCAAGGGTCTCACGGGGGATTCTTTTTTTTTTTTTTTTGCTTTTTGGGTCACACCCAGCTGATGCTCAGGGGTTACTCCTGGCTCTGCACTCAGGAATCACTCCTGGCGGTGCTTGGGGGACCATATGGGATGCTGGGAATCAAACCTGGGTCACCCGCATGCAAGGCAAACACCCTACCCGCTGTGCCTCCAGCCCCTCACGGAGGATTCTTGACCATCAAGCTGGCGAGTCAGTGCCAGGGCTCAGGATGTGATATTGCTCTGGTCCTGGAGTGCTGGAGACAACCAGGCCACCCCAGCAGTGTAGAATACATCCAGGCTTGCACCTTGTCCTGCTGGACAGACCATATGCTGCCAGAAAGGGGACTAGGCATGCGCCCTGGCCTCTGTACTCTCTCTAGCCCCCACAGGCCCAATTTAAGCTAAAAAATGGAAAATGAAAATTTTCACAAGTCACTAAAACTTTATTCCCATAGCTAATGCATAATTCTATACTTTTTGGGGGAGGGGTCACATTACAATGCGAGCCAGTGAACCCTACTCCCTACCCCAACAAATATGCAATGAATCAGTGTTAAATTACTTGTAAGTCGAATCAAAAGCAATCCTAGTCAGTGGGGGTTTATTAAGAGACTGAAATCAAACCATACAAAATATCCTTAAATGCTGGGGGCAGAGAGCTTCAGAGAACTATAGTACATGCTTTGCATGCAGAAGACTTGGGTTTGATCCCAGATACCACATACGGTCTTCCCCCGCCCCCCAACACTCCCGTCTCACTGAAGTACTGCCAGGTGTAATCCCTGAGCACAGAGCCAGAAGTAAGCACTGTGCACAACTTGGAACAACCCACTAACTCCCTCTGTCCAATTTTAGGGAGTTAAATAGAGTGGGACTTGGTATATTTATAGAAAGCAGAAAGATGCAACTTTCTAATTGCATTGTTATGATTGCAATTGTATGTGTTTGCAACTGTGTATAATTAGAAAAAATCATGAAAGATCTGAGGTCTTGGTTTTGAGTCTAAGTCTTCATTTTATTTATTTTTTGTCAAGTGTTCCCTTTTTATATCTTAAATATGAGTCCTAAGTATGAAACTATTATGTGCATGCCTATTATATTGAATGCTCCCTAGTCTCTATGCATCAAGTTGATAAAGTTTTCATTGTAAATGTTATTTTCTTATCTGAGTAGATTATGCCTTAAGTGTCTATTTAAATGCCTGTGTATGCTCCACTGATCTGGAAAAAAGAGAGAGAGAATACAGATGGTATCAACCCCAACTTGTGAAGACATATTTTTTTGATGGCTTAGTTTTCATTCCATTTTTCATATGTAAAAATGAAGAGCAATATTCATCTGGATTAGGACTTTAGGCCATTTTAATTTCATGACTCATACTATAGATAGCGTGAGATAGAAAATCACTCTTCTCTTTTTAGGTTGTTTTGTCTAATTTATTTCAAATATATTGTTTCCCTAAATAAGTGAGAGGCAATCAGGTGAAGAGATTGAGAAACTGGGCAAATCTTTGTTTCTTAAATGATATTTAAATCCTCTTTTTAAAAAGTCACTTGATTTTATAATGAGCTTTTGATATTAAAAGCAGAATTTCTATTTGTAGATAAATAGAGGAACTGGAGATAGCCATTTAAGATTCAGAATAATCACCAACAGTATTCTAGAGGGTGACTTTGTTTCTGTTTACATTTGTCCCAAAATTTGCAGCTGAAGCTCATATCTGAACTATGATCTTCACTCCAGAGCTTTTGACAGTAAGCCATGGCAGAGCACCAAAGGACATGTCCGTTTTCCTCAACGACGACAGCTCTTATTACCTTCCATAGTAAAATCTATACTATTCTATCCATCCAGCCCTTAGATGAACAAATTAGCACATTAGTGGTAGGAAGCGAAGTCAATATAAAGTTCCCAGATGGCATAAGACATATGGTCCTTATTAAATCTTTCGGTCAATGGATTTTCCTGTTCTGCTGGTGGGCACTGTGACTGTGGCGTTTTCTGACTGATCAGCTACTTGAGGGTAATCAATGACCCAGTGACTTGGGCTTGTGGGAAAGTGCTTACCTCACAAAGAACACGAGCACTATTTCCCCCCAAGAGACTCATTAATATTTTCAGCCTCTGGATTTAGGGGAAAATTTAGAAACTCTGTGTTGCTCATTATGATGGCAGCCATCCAACCGAGTGCCCAGGATATGAAGATTCCTGCCGAGGCCAGAGTGGGCACCATGGGGAGGGCCGCCCTGCTGCACTGGACCATAGGGAGCTTCTTCCTGAAGACAGGCTCTCTTTTATGGAAACTGACTCATGAAAAATCACTTTCCTTATGCACAACATGTATGGAGAAAACTCACCAGAGGAGATTTCATGTTTTTTTTTTAAAATATTATATTTTCTTCCCTACCTGCTCATTATATTTTTATAAGATTATATTTTCTTCCCTACTAGTAAATGTTACATGTTTTATGCTAGTTTTAATTTACTAGACATGCAATATAAGAAACAGAGTTATTGAAAAGGACTTGATAGGCCAAGATTCCATATCAATCTGATGGTAGAAACAACTATACCACCCCCCTCTTTTTTTTAAAGAAGGTGCCAGGTCAGAAGGATGACAAAGAAATGATCATATTCTGATGAAAACAGCTTTTCAATATGTCATCTGACTGGCTTTGGTTGATCTCATTTAAAAGTAATGTGGAAGGGGCTCAGAGATGATTTAACTGCAGAGCACCTGCTTAGCAGGGGTGAGGTATAACGCTGCTGAGAGTGCAAGTTAGAATCCTGGCATCATTCCAGTGTGCCGTATAACCTCAGCAGCTGTGCTCTCTGGGTCCTGGATGCCACAATCAAGGGTGCAATTCTGGTCCATAAAAGCAACAACTACAGGAAAGAAAAAATAAAAAAATAAAAGGTACTCGCAGTTTTGCCTTGGGTGTGACCCCTGAGGAATGTGTGTGTGTGTGTGTGTGTGTGTGTGTGCGCGCTCGTGTGTGTGTGTCTGTGTCTGTGTAAGAGAGAGTGAAAGAGAGAGAGAGTGAGAGAGAGAGGAAGAGAGACAGAGAGAGACAGAGAAAGAGACAGATTTTAAAGTTATTGCTGGTTGTTCTGATGAACGCTTTTGTGTGTCCTCCATGAAATTTCCTATTCAATCTGACTGTATTTCTCAAATCTGAGTAACATGGTGATGTCTCAGCCTCTAGTCTCTATCTCTCTTTATTCTGTGAAGTCGAATTAGAAGTCTAGAAAGCGTGAGGGAAGGAGGCTGAGGGAACTATGCTTCTACTTGGCAAGAATTGTACTTTTTCCTTGTGAGACGATAAAAGAGCTATATGAGTTGGCTGTTTAAAAATATCATTTTTTATTTCCTTAGTAAAAAAAATTGCAGAAAATCAATGGATTAAATATAGCAAGAGGCACTAAATGCATTTGCTTAAAATATTGATACAGTTAATAAATGTGTAGAAAATATTTGTAAAACCACTTTCTTAATTCCTCTTATCACAGACCTGATCTAGGCTACCAAGTTGTCACAGATAAAGGATTTAATTTTTCACCAGCAGATGAAGCTTTTGTTTGCCAAAAGAAGAACCATTTTCAGTTAACCATCCATATTCAAGTCTGGGGGAGTCCAAAATTTGTCAAAACCCAAATGGGTTTAAAGCCAATAGAAATGTTTTACTTGAAAGCTTTTGGGGTTAAGGTAAGTTTTAAATTTAATTCAACCAAAATCGATTGCAATCCAGTTATCTATCACTGCTTAACAAATCATCCCCCAAAGGCAAAGTTTAAAATAGCAATAATGTGTTGTGGTCACTAGTCTGCAACTTGTTAAGAGTTTGGCTCTGCCACTTGTCTATGTTTAGGAGTCATTAGCTGGAACAACTCAATGGGACCTAAATCTAGTTTCCAATATGGGATGAGCACCAAGACTTCCCAGGTGGGCTTGTCTGCTGGACATTTGAGATCTTCTTGCTCCAGACAGTTCTTCAAATAAAACAACTTTTTTTTCTGATTATGGAAATAATATGCTTCCCTAGTGAAAATGTCACAATTCAAAAGTATGAAAAAATGAAATTCACTGATATTTGGAATCCACTATTGTGTAGCTCATTTTTTTGTTATTGAAATTAAACTCATGTTGTTAATACTGTATTGTGACACTAACATATTATTTAAAGATATAAAAATATGGCTTGCAAAGGTACAGTTTTCCATTATATGGGTATAGTGTATTAGCTCCTGTTTTCTTGTAAGTTTTGATAATAAGCAACAGTGAACATCCTAGTATACTTGTCTTTACAAGAGGATAAATACCAGAGGAGGAATTTGAACATTAAAGATAGGAACATTTCAGAGCTGAAGAGATAGTACAGTGGTTAAGGCACTTTCCTTGCAAGCAGCTGACCCGGGTTTAATCCTTGACACCCAGTATTGTTCAGTGAGCCTGCCAAAAGTGATCCCTGAGCACAGACCCAGAAATAAGCCCAATGCACTGCCAGATATGGTCATGGTCTACCTGTGTTCCTGCCTCCAACACCCTCTCCCCAAATATAGGAGCATTTAAAAAAACTCAATGTAAATTGTCCAGTACTTTCCAGAAAGATTGTTACTTTTTGAATACCCATAATCCATATGAAATAGCACTGATCATTATTCATTAGGAACAAAAAGAGTTTGCACTAAGTACTGAATAGATACAATTGATGACGTTTTATTCATTTTATCATTTATCATTGTTTTTCTGTGTAGGATGTAAGCTATGCAAATGTAGAGATTCCTGTTAATTTTGTCTGCTTCTCATATCTAATGCTAGTGAAGTATGTGGTGAATAGCTCAGATGCACTTATAGAAAGAATGAACGAATGAATGAACGCATGCATACTTAGAGATGTCTTGCTTTCATGTTTCAATCATCTAGTCCACCCTAAGAATTTCAACTTACCTGGATCACTCTTTTGTTTTATGTTTTCATTGTTTAATTTTAATGGTGATTCTCATCTCACTAACTCTCATGATGTTATGTTAGTGGCCGTTGTCTTATTTGCATGACTTTTTTTTGTTGATTTCACCAATGCCTAGAAAGATGCCTTAGAAACTTGCAAGGTACTTTCAAAATTATTTACTGAAGGACATTTTTTATTAATTACTTAACTAATTAGCTCAATAATTAATTTTCATTTTGTTGTTCAACACAGGTAGAAGCCACCAATCAAATAATCACTATTGAACAATCCCAAGCAGATCGAAGCAAAAGAATTTTCAATCCTGTTAAGTAAGAATTTCTTTTCCGTGAATTTCTTTTACTGGATATTTTGGAAAGATCTTTTGCCCAATTCATTCTGTTTACCTAAAGTAAAAGTCACTGTAGAGACCTAATTAGTAATGATGTGCTAATATTATAAAGCATGTGCTTATCATAAAGTTGATAAAATTTATTAAAATGATTGCAAAAAATTACCTTATGAAAAGCTCCATTTAAAAAGTCAGCGTTCTTCTTAGAATCATTTATTAATGACTCCCTTGCTAACAACTATGGCTTCTTGTGATAAATTATGGTTAGATCTTTTCATTTTTCATTTAAATCAGCATGATGTAAAGTGAATTCATTTCAAGATTCTAGATCCAAGCTGTGCTTACAATTTATTTTTTCTTATGTCTTAAAGTTATGTTAATGCATGGCTCATGGGTTTCAAGATAGAAAGTATACAAGATTGGGATTATCCTGAACAATATGGCACCCTAAAGCTAGTGTCTGCCCTGGGGAATCATGTGGAGTGGGAGTGACTCTTGATTGACTTGACTGGAAGGTGGCTGAGATATCTATGTTTTGACCCTGAGTCATTAATGCTGGGACAATAATGAAAAATGGTCCCATAACCAGACCCCTGCCCCAAACCCCCAGGAAAGAGCTCAAGTTGACATGAACAAACATAGCTCTGAAATGGTCTTGTGCATCAGTTATCCTGGGAAGGCACTGAGCTGTCTTCACTGGGAGGGAGCTCTCTCCGTGGCTGACCAAGGAAAAGGCAGATACTTAGCCAAGGTGAGGAGTTTGTAAGAAACCTAGAGAAATGGCTAGCATTAGCCATGGTGACCAAGGCACAGATGAGCTCTGTCTATTTTTCCCGGGGTGGAGGTAGAAGTACCCCTCCACTCCCCCATGCTTTAGGGAGCATGTGGCCCCCAACAATCAGGAGCAGAAACTGAAGGCTTGAATAGCATGGGCCGAAGGAGCGCTTCTTATCTATCATTCCAGAATATTCTGGGCCATTGTCTTATTTGCCTTTCCTGGCAGCCATTCCTGGCTGTCTGAGAGAGTGCACTGAGGTCAGTGGCCAGAATAAACTTCTTTCCATGGCATGATGGGAGCTGAGAACCAAACATACTCAGAATGGGTTAGATATGATCCGACACTGTGTTGTCTGACAACCTCTTGCTATCTCTGCTGTTTGTTTTAGAATCGACCTGCTAACTGACCAGGTCACCAAAGTAACTCTGGGCCGGTTGCACTTCAGCGAAACCACGGCGAATAATATGAGAAAGAAGGGAAAACCAAATCCTGACCAGAGGTACTGTTGTCTCTGGACATCCCACAGGGCTGGATACTCTCATACTCCTGGGCCAGCCCACTGGCAAAGCCCGCCTTCCCCAGTCTCTTTCCTGTCTACTCCTACTCAAGTGTATTGACTCTTCTTACTGACATTTTCTCATCTGTCCTCACTCCTGAAATGCCTGCTCTCTCCCTAGCCTCAAATCTGCATATCTACTCCAAATTCTCTTGAGAGTCCCTGTGTTTATATCTCCCTTGCCATCCAAGGGCAGAGGGGTGATTACAAATGTGTGTACTGCTCCCCATACAATGCTCTGAGTCCTGAGCTCCCTCTGTGACCCTCTGATTACAAAGGAAGAGGTGGGTTTTGTTTGCTTTTTTGCTTGCTTTGGGAGGTAACCGCATTTGGTGGAGTTCAGGGCTAACTCCTGACTATGAACTCAGGGATCATTCATGGCAGGCTTAGGGGACTGATCATATGCAGTGCTGGGGAATGAACCTGGGTCAGCAGCCTGCAAGGCAAGTGCCTATCTACTCTACCATTGCTCTGGTCCCACAAAGGAAAATTTATAATTGTGATGAATCTCCACCACTGATTAAGACTTATAGTTCTCATCTCTCGAGTTCGAATTAGAGAGATGACATAGCCTGGACTAATTCAACCAATAAGTAGAAATGCAAGCTCAGAGGCCCTGCTGAAGATCTCCTGAATCAAAGCTCTGAAGGCAGGGTCCAGAGATTCCCATCATAATAAATGTGCCCTGGGACTCTGTGGGAGGCTCAAGTTTGAGGATCCTTTGGGAATGAGCATTTAAGTCTACATGTAAGTTTACTATAGTCTAGTTACTATTATATAAGATAAAATAAGATCAGGTAGGCTCCATGATAAATCTTCAATGTTTATACTAAGTTCAGTTCACCATTAAAATTCCAATTCTGGACCATGCAGATAGTTATAGATGTTAAGGCACTTACTAGACTTGCATGTGGCCAACCACACTTTGGTCCCTGGCATCACATCTGCCAGGAGTGATTCCTGAGTACTGAGCCAGGAGTCAGTCCTGAGCACCACTGGATAAAAAAAATCCAATTCTATCCTCCATTTGTTCATCTGAACCCTTTTGCCTAGGTTATCCATCCCTATCTCTCACTTCTTTCTGGTAACCACTATTGGTCTTAAAATCAAAAAGTTTGTTTTGTCAATACTGTTTTGGTTTCAGTACCACATCTAGTGGTGCTTAGGGGATTACCTCTTGGCACTGAAAGTTTATTTTCATTTTGTTTAGTTGAAATTGGTTGTGGAATTGGATACAATATTTGATATACTAACTGAGTGTATATCTCAGAGGCGTGAACCCCTCTGAGGCTTATTTTCCTAGTTTGTAAGTGGAGACAATCACCACATCCTACTCCAGATAGAGGTTCCAAACTTATTTAACCTTCTGCCCCTTTTCAGGGAAAATGTCACTCAGGTGTCAGAGAGCTAATACAAGGTTAAGGCACTTGCCTTGCATGCAGCTGACCCTGATTAGATTTTTGGCACTGCATATTATTTCCTAAACTTGCCGGTAGTGATCCCACAGCACAGAGCCAGGAATAAGCCCTGAGCACCATCAGGTATGGCCCCAACGACACCTCCACACCCCTGCCTCAGTCAATCATCACTTCCCTGGAGATCTACCTGGTAGAAGTGGCAATCACAAAGCATTCCTGGCTGCTCCTGGACCTGCTACCATAGCTTGGGTTGTTCTAGTGCCCCCATTCCCCACCTGGTAGGGGGACAGTACCATTTTCTTTGAGAAACACTATCGCACTCCAGTAGGTTGTTCTGGATCTAAGTAAAATCATGTAGATAAGCAGGTGCTGATTTTTTTTGAGCACTCATTAGATAGTAATACTAATAATGATGGTATTAATACTAATGACAATTAATATTAATACTAATGTGATAATAGCATTAAATACTAATGATGATATGCCAATTATTACTAAATAACTTTAGGTTTAGGGACAGGTCTTGTTCTTTAGGGATTAGAAATCTGTAGCATGTTATCAAAGTTGTTGAAGTTTTTTCATATTGTTCTTAAAACTAAACGTCCTCTGATAGATATAGTTTTCATTAAATTAAATTTCATTAAATATGTAAAAAATTGTTTTTGGCTTGTGGACCACAACTAGCAGTGCTCAGGGCTTACTCCTGGGTCTGTGCTCAGGGATGCAAGGCAAATGCACTACCCATTGTACTATCACTTACCTTTTTCCTCATTTAATTTTTAAGACATGGTTGGATCTTTAAAATGTCTCATGAATGGTATGTTTGATAAAGCAGTTGAGATGACATTGATGAAGTTTGTCTTCAGCCAGGATTTTAATTGTCATTGAAACAGAATATATCTACAGAACTGAGTTTACAGGGGAGGGGCTGGGAGGGGTCTCCGACACTGGTGGAAGGATCCAGACTGGTCAGTGTTGGAATGATGTGTACATGAAGAGTATAATTAATGGTATTGTAAACCCCAGTACCTACATAAAAATAGTAAAATATATATATAAAATAAAAGGCCTTCATATACTTTAAAGTGGAAGATAGAAGGTATGTGACCAAGAGCAAGTCAGGTTGGTTGGTTGAGTCCTGATGGGTGTCTCTCCAATAAGGGGTGGGATGTGCAGCTTGACTGACCATGGACAAAGGCCCATCTTAGGCAACATTCTGTTGTATGTGAATTAATGAGCAGTTGTGCTGAGAGCGCAGGAATGCAGCTTACAAGTACCTCAAACTGGGCATTAGAAGGGTCCAGAAGGATAGTCAGTCCAGAATGAACTCTCTTATTCCAGAGGAGGGGCGACTTGGCACAGGAGAAAAAAAACTTTCCACGTACAAAGCCATCTAAGTAAATGCAGCATGGATGAATGGTATCAGGTTGCACATATCATGTTTCTATTCCCCTACATGCTCACATGGATCTACTGTTTGTCATTTAGATACTTCATGTTGGTGGTTGGACTGTATGCTGCTAACCAGGACCAGTTTTACCTGTTAGCGGCCCATGTCTCTGAAAGGATCATTGTGAGGGTAAGCTCAGTTCTTTTGACATTTTTGGAGAGAAAAATTCTTTTCTTCCTAGGGAGAAGAATTTACATTTTTTAAGACCTGCTTGACATATACTGTTTCTCCATTGCAGCTTATAAGAGCAGACACAATTATTTTAAATGTAAGAGCAGGCACAATTATTTTAATTTTTACATAGTGGTTCTCAACTGAGGGAAACTTTGTCTCCCCAAGGTCATGTGGCAATATCTGCAACCACTTTGGGTTGTCACCCAAAGCTGGGGAGTTCTGCTGGTGTCCCCTAACCATCAGTAAAGACCACAGTAACTGCTTAATACATGACATTGCACAGAATACTTCACACCAGGAAGGATTCCTTTCCGAATATCTGTAGTGTCTAGATGGAGAAAGTGTATTTTTTACATTCTTTGTTATTGTTGTTGTTTTGAGGCCCACACCCTGGTAATGCTTAGGGGTTATTCCTGGCTCTGCACTCAGGAATCACTCTTAGTGGTGATCAGAAGACCATATGGGTTGCCAGGGACCTAACCTGAGTCAGACACATGCAAGAACGCCCTACCTGCTATACTATCGCTCCAGCTCCTACACCATATTTTTGATTCTAGCCTAAATAATGAATATAGGACATAATTTTACACTGACATTATCTTCTTTATATCTGAGAGGCAGTGATTCAACAGGATGAGAATGTCACTCTTGACCATACAGCTTGTCAATGATGGAGCCCAAATTATAACCCACTTTTATCTCACCTCAAAACCCCCAAGGTGGGGGAAGCGATAGAAATGGATTCTATGCCCCAAAGTGGTTGGTTAGGACATTTGGTCTTCTGCCCAACACATAGTTGGGACTTAGCACATTTTGCTAAATGTGTTCTTGGTCCCAGCTGTGGACCGGTATCTTGGCAGCAGCCACAGAACATAAAGCTGTTCACAGCTGCAGCTGAGGGGGGTTGCATGGGTCTGGGAAGGGCCAGGAGGATGAGGAAACTGCTAAGTATGGGTCTAGTGGCCCAGGAGCCCAGTTGTGTTGTCATGTGTCTCAGAAGTGACCAGGGAGGACATGCAGACTGCAATAGGGAAAACTGTTTACTCCAGACATGCTCACATGGACTTTTAACCAGAGACCTAGGGACAAGCTTTGTCCATTTGGGGAAGTCTCTCTTTCATTGTCTTGAATGATTATTTTTGAAACAAAGAGTGCTTTGTGTGACTCTTTTACTCAGTTAAAAATAACAAATCTGAGGCTGGACAGTGGGTAAGGTTTGTCCTGCACACAGCTAACCCAGGATGACACTGAGCGTCACATTTGATCCCTGAGCAAGAAGCCAGGAGTAAATTGTGAGCACCATCAGGTATTATCTCCAACACCACTCCTTCCCCCATCCCTCTCCACATGAAAAACATAACAAATCACCAATTCTTAGAAATCCTTCAACTGAATCTCACGGTTTGAATGGAGGTGTGGGAATGTCAGAAATGAGTGCCACACTGTTCAGGTGACCGAGGCTGAGAACTGGGCTCCATCTGGCTGGTCTGCATGCGTTTCAATGGCTCTAGATCTAACCGGTGATCCACAAGGCTTCCCTGGGACCAAGGCAGGTGGGACCCTTTTCTGGTCATGAGCCAAGGCCAGAGGTCCCCATGCATTCCTCAGCAGAGTGCTGGGTGACCTCAGACATCTCCCCTAGTGGAGTCTGGGAAGGTTTTTCTGCTCTAACAATATGATCTAAAGTCAAGTCTGGAAAGCTACATTGCTTGTTGTGTCTGGTTTCTCAGAGGAAGGACTCAAGTCAGGGAGCCCTCTCTTTTCAGAGTCGGTCTAGATTAGATAGCATGAAAGCACCACTCTGAGTGTGTAATTCCTACTTGGGTCCCGTGCTGTGAGTCAACCTCATACTTTGAATAATTTATCTGGGCTAGAGGATTCTCCGTTTCCTGCTGATAGTTGCTGCAGAGTTGCTCTCTGTTTCTGTGTAAGTCCACACAGCCCCAGGAGAGAGAGTGTCACTGCCGAAATTCAGTTACCAAAAACATGGGCACAGCATGCAGATCACTTCTCTCTTAATTATGACTTTACCGAGTCATAGTTTCTAAAATTTACACTTGGCACAAATACCTATGTAGTATACACTGGATGTCATGTAATTCAAGAAAGTTGTCTTTAAAAATTTTATTTCAAATTTGATAGCTTTCTTCCTGCCATAGGAAGAATGGCAGGAAGAAAACAACAATGAGAGAAGAGACCATGGGAATCACACAGATGCTCTTCATGCTTTCCCCAATCCCCACTGGAAATAACTTCTTGATGTTATTTTGTTTTCAATCCTAAATGCAGAAGAGGATCATTGACGGTTGGCTTGTTCACTGTTTAAATCAACTAAGAGAAAAACTAGCTTGAAGAAGTAGCACTGGGCTGGAGAGCTAGTACAGGGGTCAGAGTTAAGGCACTTGCTTTGTGTCCTGCTGAACCTGGTTTGACCCCCGACACTGCATTTGGTCCCCTGAGTGCCGCCAAGATCACTCCTGAGCACAGAGCCAGGAATAGCTTCTAAACACAGCCGGGGGTGGTCCAAAGCAATCCCCTCTACCAGGAAATGCATTATTTGAATCTGAATTTTAGCATTCTCCACAGAACACATGAGATTCTAGAGGATACTGAGCATTGTATGCATTATGAGTTTGAAGAGAGCAGGCCAGTGTACACATCACAAAACAGTCAGTCAGATACGCCCACAGAAGCTGTAGCCTGGACCTACTGGTTTGAGCTTCAGAATGAAGATGTGGGAGCAGTGTTGGGGTGGGGGAGGGACAGTTAAAGACATTATCAGCTCTGGCTACATTGCATGAGAAATTAATTGTGAACTGCACCTAGAAAATTTTCAGATTCATTTTGAAGGCCAGGAATCATTCTTCTTGATAGCAGAGATTTACCATCAGGGTGTTTATGTGAGGTTCTGAGCAGAGTTTCAGTGGTGGGGGTTGCAGGTGGGATTCAGGAGACCACAGTGGTAAGAATTCTCCTTAAAGAGAGTCTAATGGGCAAGCCCCAGTGATTGTTCATCTGCACTGTCAATCAAAACAATTTTAGAAACCTATTATGATCCTGTAGTGTAAATTGGCCAATTTAATGAAAATTAAGATTTACTCCGAGGAACAGATTTATTTCCCAGGTCTTTGTTTTTGGGAGCATTCCCCAGCAGAGCTCCTGCAGACTCTCCTTGGTAATGACTAGGCTTTTCCATCGGCTCCATTTTTGTTCTCAAACGTATAATTAAATAGGGTTTGGGGCACTGTGTTGCAAGCAGGAGGGATGATTACTTTTGTCTGCTTTTCAAAGACACACCAAGTTTTTTTTTAGTTTTGAAAACTAATAGATTAAATTCCCATTTCTTTTCTCTAAGAACATCCCTAAGAAGTCCCTTTTGACTGCTCTGCATTCATTCTGTAGTGAAGTGGAAAACCAACCCCCCAGGGGCAGGGACAACAAAAGAAAGAATAAGAATGTGATTGCTAGAGTAGCAAGGGACACAATAGAGTAGAGACATTCAGTATCATTTTATGTACATTTGCATTGACATTGGACTATTTCTTTTTTTTTGTAATTTATTTATTTATTTATTAAATTTTTATTAGTGAAACACCATGAGGTACAGTTGTAGACTTACAAATTTTTGTGCTCAGGTTTCTATTATACAATGATCAAATACCCATCCCTCCACCAGTGCCCATTTTCCATCACCATGGATCCCAGTATCCCTCCCATCCCTACCCCCCCCATCCCACCCTGCCTTTGTGGCAGGGCATTCGACATTGGACTATTTCTGTCCACAATCCTCCCTTCTCTCCCCCAACACACACTCACACACACATAAACGTCCCTTTTCTAGGTATCAGATGAATTTTTATTTATCCCAAGGAAACAGTGTACCAAGAGATGTCTGCTTTACTCTGCTTTACTCTGCAGCAGTATTCAACAGAACCTTCCATCAATGATGGAGGGGCTAGAGTATGTACGGCACAGAGATGAAATTCAGACACATTAGCAAGATCCTTGTGGCTTATGCTTAGAGAACTTATAAAGAATCCCTGGAGAGCTTATAAAAAAGACAGATACTTGGTTCACACTCCTGAAGTGTTTGATTCAGTGGATTGGAGGTGCTCAAGAATATATATTCCTGAAAGCTTCCAAGGAGATGCTGACTTGGCTGGTCTGTGGACCACTGCTTAAGTAGCACTTCATAGAAAAAGTATCTAGGTCCATTTCCCATAGCTCTTTTGAAGATAGAAAAAAAATTTCTTTTAATTTTATTGAATCACCTTGAGATAGTTACAAACTTTCATGTTTGGGTTACAATCACACAGTGATCAAACACCTATCCCTCCCCAGGGCGCATTCCCGACCACCAATCTCCCCAGGACACCCCCTTATCCCCGCCCTCCCCTGCTTCCATGACAGACAATATTCCCCATACTCTCTCTCTCTCTACTTTTGGGCATTCTGGTTTGCAATACAGGCAAATACTGAGAGGTCATCATGTTTGGTCCTTTATCTACTTTCATCCCGACTTGTTCCTCAAGCCATCATTCTCTTAGTGATCCCTTCTCTTTTCCATCTGGAAGGTAGGAAATTTATTTCTAAGACGTTGTTTTCCTTAGCTAAAGCTCTGTTATTCTCTTCTTTTGCTGCTTTAGATATTAAAACAGAGGAAGATAAAGCAAAGCAAGGTCAGCTTTCCATTCCAAACTTAAACGTTGGCCTGAAATTGCTAGGAAAGCTTTTTCTGATTCCAAGCAAGCCCCTGCAGGGGGCACCATTTACATTATCTTTTTGTGCCTGGAGTTCCCCAGAATTGAGGTGTACTGCAGTTGAGGAGAGTGGATCCATCTCCGGGACCATGGTTGTGGATGAGTTTGAGACCATTCAGTTTCCTGTAAGCAAAATGCACACCCATTTCTGAGCTCAGTGAATTCCACACCCTGAGGTATAGGTAAAGAAGACATTATTAGACATTATTATCTTCAGAGACAAACTGGTGCAGAGAGAGGTGAAGTGACTGCCCCAAGGTCACACAGTCAATTAATGTAATATAGACATGATGCAATATAAGCATAATTGTTCAAGTCTTCCCTAAATACATAAGAATGTGATATATATAAAATAATTTTAGAATGGGAATTAATTTTGCTCATTAATACAAATCAACTGCTGTTGAGTCCCATGTGAATATAATTTCAAAATTCCAGAAAAAGAAACATTCTAGCTTACTTGGACACATTCAGATTGTGGAAACCAAATCAGGGAAATAAAAATCAAAGAATTTATAAAATTTTTTATTACCAATTAGGCTGGAGCGATAGCACAGCGGGTAGGGCGTTCGCCTTACAAGCGGCCAACATGGCCGACCCGAGTTCGATTCCTCCGCCCCTCTCGGAGAGCCCGGCAAGCTACCGAGAGTATTCGATATGCCAGACACAGTAACAACAAAGTCTCCAATGGAGACGTTACTGGGCCCGCTCGAGCAAATCGACGATCAACGGGAGGGCCTTTACCTTTACCTTTACCTACCAATTAGGACTATATATTTAAAATGTTGTCAATCTGTGCTCCCTTTCACATTGATGTCTACTTATTTAGGAAGTTAAATGTTCACCTGATGAAAGTCAAGTGACATTGTTGCGATTGTTCCAAAGAAATAAATCTACTAATAGCTGCTCTCCCAGCATCATGTTACTCACCTGATAATTATACCGGAGCTCTTTAAGTGAAAACAAAACTAAAAACCCCAACAGCCTGTCACTGTTCAATCTTGTTTCCTTGAAGTGGCTCACTATGTTTAGAGCAGAGCAAAATATATCAGCATTTGCTATACCATACCTTTGGATATAGCTGATTGTATGGTACTAAAAGATCCGAATCTAGGCGCAGGAGATGGTGGACCCTATGTTGAGCATGTGCAGAATCTGAGTCCATCCCTGACAGCCAGTACCTCACACCCTGTACCCAGCATTGCATTGCTGCTCTGCACAGGTGCCACAGAGCACAGCTGGGCTTATCTGTCAGGGTGACACCAGGTGTCTGAGCTTTGTTGGGAGTGACCCCAAAAAAGGAAAGGGGAGGAAGGAAAGAGAGGAGAGGGAGAGGGAGAGGAAGGAGAGGGAGAGGGAAAAAGGAGGGAAGGCAAGGGGAGGGGAGGGGAGGGGAGGGGAGGGAGGGGAGGAAGAAGAGGGGTGGGAAGAGCAGGGAAAGGGAGGAGAATGGAAGAGGAGGGGAGAGAAGGGGAAGGAATGGGAGAGGGGTGAGGAGAGGTGGGGAAGGAAGAGGAGAAGAGGAATGGTGGGGAAACTAGAGGTGAGGAATGGAGGGCTGAACAGTGCAAAGGGAAAGGGAGGAGGAAGGGGATAAGGGGAGGGGGAGGGGAGAGGAGGAGAGAAGACAAGTGAGGAGGGGAGGGCAAAGGGAAAGGAAGGGGTGGAAGAGAAAGAGGGGAACGGAGGAAAGGGGAAGGAAGAGGGGAGGGGAGGAGATTTGAGTCAAAGCCAATTTTGTATTCATAACTAAGAGGGCTCTAAGGGTCTTGCAAAAAAGCCTTTTGCTTAAGTGAATTCACACAAAATAATGTACCGATTGTTATTTTACATTCTTTCACAGCTCTTATCTATGGAATTTGAGTCTTCCAAGCAGCTCAGAGTTCAAACAGGTGGAAATGAAACAGGAAGTAGATGACCTAAAAATGTTTTAACTGAACCCAAACTAAGAACTTTGTGGTTTTACTTATGTTTTGTATTAGTGGCACACACGTACAGTAAGAACATTCAAATAACACCCAGGCATATACAGCAAACAGAATTTCCTTCCTGTTGGTTTCTACTTGCACTTTGCAGCTTGCTCCCTGAGGAAACCACTGTGACTGTCTGGGGTATTCTTCAACACTAGTGTCACCGAACCTCTTGGGCCAATGGACGCCACGCTGTAGTGCTGGCTGCATGGATGATTTGAGTCCCCACTGTTTGTTGAATTTGTCACAACTTGTCCCAAACACACAGAAATCACATTCAGAAGAATAAGATGGGCCAAAATTTTAGAAACAAATCTTTTGGTGAGGATGTTGAGCGAGTCAAAATTCCATATTTAAAGATACTTGGAGATATTTAGAAATAATTTCATCAGCTACAAAAAGAAAGGAGGAGGAAAGACAGAACCATGGCAAATATCTTCTGCAAAACAATTTTTTTTAAAATTTAAGAGTAAATCTCCAGAAATTTGTTTTCCTAGTAGTCTCCCTTTGATCTATTTTCCCTCCTAAGACTGTATTTGGTTCAGGCTACTTCTAGACAACACTGTAAAATAAGAGAAGTAGAATCATAATTTAATACTCACTGTCACTGTCACTCTCAGCCTGTTGTTCATCCATTTGCTCAAGCGGGTCAAAGAAACTATTATTCCAGCTCCAGAACTTAATAGTTTTGGGAACTTTAGTATTCTTTCGAGTCTTGAAATCAGTAGAATAAGAACAATAGAACACAGAATTGTGGCATAGATTAGTTCATAGCACAGGCGGCTGGCACTCTTCTTTAGTACCTTCTGCATGGAAGAAATAACTGGGAGTATTTAAATATATCTACATGCCATTTGCTTGTCAGTTATGTAGCTAGTCATAAATGTGTTTCAAACTATAAAATGGCTAAGTGAGTACAATATATTTAAAATTTTTAGTCTTAATAATATCATTATATTATCTACTGCATAATATATAACTATATTATGAATATAATACGTTGATATATTTGATGGGCTTTGGGGCCCCACTTGGCTGTGTCCAGGGCTTATTCCTAGCTCTGTGGTTGGGGATCACACCTGGCCATGCTCAGGGGACCACGGGCCATGTGGTTCTGAGGATTGAACTGTGGTTGGCTGCAGGCAATACCTCCCGTACTATCTGTCTGGCTGGAAACTTGTAATATTTTCTGATGTCATATTCTGATTATAAATTATGGTCATGATTATCTTTTAAAAGTTCATACTTTTGAGTCATCTTCCTTGCCAGTCACCCATGACACATTCTCAATTACAAATAGAGGCAATCGAGACAAATGACTGCATGCAGAGCACCTACTTCTGCAGAGCAGTGGGGGAGGGAGGGCAACCCACTCCCCACGACCTTGGTTCTCCTGTAGCCATAGTAATTTGGATATGTCAGAATATCTCATTCAACATACAACTCTCCATGTGAAAAGACTAAGAGAACATTCTACTTTGCTGAGGAGTCCTGGCAATTGTAACTTTCATTGTAATATATTTATGTGCTTTTTTTTCCCTCCCCCAGGCCTCTAATCCTGGGCAATTTGAAAATGACAGTGACACATTATGGCAGCGAGGACAAGTTCCAGAATCTGTTGTCTGTCACAGTCGAGTAGGAATAAACACAGATGCCCCGGATGAAGCCCTGGTTGTCTGCGGCAACGCGAAAGTGATGGGGACGATCATGCATCCCTCTGACAGCCGGGCCAAGCAGAATATCCAGGAGGTGAGGCCTTGGGTGGCCCCCTGACACCTGTGTTAGCTGGGCCGGGGAGGGGGCGTCTCTTTCCTGGTTTCTGACACCCCTCACCTAGGGTGGCTCAGGTGTTGGTGCTGGTGTCAAGCCAGACTCAGTGACAACTGTCGAAGTGGCTCGGTCTTTTGGCTGACCGCCCCTAGAGGTGGATTTTCAGATAGGAGCAGAAGGCCAAGGCTGAAGAGTGCTGGTTTCTCTACAGGAGGCATCTGGATTATTCTCCACAGGCTTCTGCCCTTACTCCATGAGGCTTTGTTAACTGTCGGAGCATGCCTCTTTTCTTCCATTCCTCTCCCCATTTTTCTCCTGGGTTCTGACTAAGCCCATTTCCTGCTCCTATTTCTTCTGAATCTTTCCAACAGCTTCTTCCCAGGGGCCCTGTACCATCCCTCCAGCAGTGGCCTTCCCTACTCACGGTCCTTTGAGGAGCAGTTGGAAAAGAGCTCCTTCTGCCCTGCCAAGGTTGACTTTATAGCCTGAGGTTCAGGGTCAAGATCTTCCCCCACCAAAGAGAGGCAATGACCTGGTGGCACTCAGAAATCAGGAGGCAGCCACTCTTCCTGGGACTTACCCTAGCCAAGTGACCTTAGATGGAAGACTTCACCCTGCCAGAACTCAGGTGTCTTTCTGTCAGATGGAAATGTATCTCCCCACTGAGTCCCTTATCTTTTAAACCCACTGAGATCAAAATGGAATGAATGGAACAGGGACGGTTCAGCTACTATTCCCTTAGCCAGGACACTTTGGGTTTCAGCTCATTTCTAGTATCATTATTTTCCATTCACTACTTCTACCACTTCTGGTAGCATTGTCCAGGCTGTGACAGAATTGTATGGTTGTTCACCCCACTACCCGAGACTCCTCCCCCTCTCTTTCCTTGTTCTTTTTTTAGTTAATAAAAGATTTAATCTATTAATCATTGGCTGTTCTTCCAGACTGCATTCCTCTCCCTGAGCAAATCTGTCACTGGTTTTTCTAAACTGGCCAAGGAATGTCTTCCTTTGCTGAGAGGATTCTAGAGAATGGTTGTAATTGTAGACTTTTTATGCTGATTACAAAGCTACGTTTCACGTTGTAAGAACTGTGACCTTCTAGCCAGATGGGAACTCTTAGGGCTAGAAAGTTCTCACATACATTTGCAGATAGAGATACTATGTGCTTGACCTTTTGAGAGAGATAAAATGCCTGCTATTAAAATGCCGGCCAACTCAGACACACTCATTCCATTGGCCTTACCAAGGCCTTACATGTCTTAATCTAAATGTAGGTAGAAGATGACAAACAGTCAAATTCTGCACCACTGTTTTGGCACCACTTTTTTCCACAGCTCCAGTGACTACACCTTCACAGGGTACTTCTTGGTTTGAAGAAATATATTGCCTTAAAATTAATAGTTTCTCTTGAACTTCCCACATCCCTTTTAGGAAGGGACGTTTGATGACCATATAAATGAAATGTTACCCCAATCCTACAGATAAAGTTCCCAGGACCCATTCTTTTCTCACAACAGCATAATGGAATAAAGAGAATCCCAGACTCTTGGTTCTGGAAAACTCTGACCTAGGAACTTTGAGATGACTCAAGTATCATCTCTTTTTTCAGTCTGCAAAGAGAGAATACTAGTTTCCTTTTACAGAGGCTAAGGGTTTTTTTCTAAGTTCCAACACATGATGTATTTTTAGCTATGTGAGGCTAAGTAAATAGATATAATTTACCTATAAAAGTGTTGATAACATTTAGCACAGCGGTAGGGCGTTTGCCTTGCACGCGGCCAACATGGCCGACCCGAGTTCAATTCCTCCGTCCCTCTCGGAGAGCCCGGCAAGCTACCGAGAGTATCTCGCCTGCGCGGCAGAGCCTGGCAAGCTCCCCGTGACGTATTCGATATGCCAGACACAGTAACAACAAAATCTCCAATGGAGACGTTACTGGGCCCGCTCGAGCAAATCGATGAACAATGGGAGGAGGAATGATTTTATATTTGTGGCTGGAGCAATAGCACAGCGGGTAGGGCATTTGCCTTGCACGCAGCCGACCCAGGTTTGATTCCTCCATCCCTCTCGAAGAGCCTGGCAAGCTACCGAGAGTATTTTGCCCACACAGCAGAGCCTGACAAACTCCTCATGGCGTATTGATATGCCAAAAACAGTAACGACAAGTCTCACAATCGAGATGTTACTGGTGACCGCTTGAGCAAATCTATGAACAATGGAAGGGCAGTGCTACAGTGCTTTATTTTCTTTATGTCACTGAGAAGGTTTGCTGCACAACCAATTGAGGGCCAGTCAGAAGAGAAACACAGTGAGGTACTGAGAAAAGCTTTATGGGCAACCAGGCAGCTTGTGGGATGATGATAATCTCATGTTCATTTTGTCTGCATGGTCATAATAAATGTTGTTTCTAGAGAAGGAAGAGAAATTTTAAAGAATGGTTGGCTGCAGGCTTGGGCTCCTGAAGAAACATAAAAACCCCTGTGGGCTGATCTCCTGAGGTACCCAACCTTGTCTACAGACAAAGTAGGGAGTAGGATTTTGAGGAAGAAAAAATGAAGAAGATGGTCCTTATCTTTTGACTTTGAAGCAAGGACAGTTGCTCTTATCAATTATTAATCTTTGGCCTCATTTAATAGGCCTGTGCATATCTATGAAATAATGTCTCTAGAAAGCTTACCTGTCCTTTTTGCCATTCATTGCAGAACAGAGAGATGGTAGTGATGGTGGCGGTGCTCACAGATGTTTCAATTTTATCATCATAGCTCCCTGATTCCATTATGTTTCTTTCTTTCTTTTTTTATTTTAATGGAGAAAAATTCACAACTATTGATACAATTTTAGAAATAATATTGATCAAATAACAAAGTTGCAACATTAAAATCAATAGCACTGCACTGTAGCACTGTCCTCCCGTTGTTCATCGATTTTGCTTCAGCGGGCCCAGTAACGTCTCCATTGTGAGACTTGCTGTTACTGTGTTTGGCATATCGAATGCGTCACGGGTAGCTTGCTAGGCTTTGCCATGCAGGCGAGATACTCTTGGTAGCTTGCTGGGCTCTCCAAGAGGGGTGGAGGAATCGAACCTGTGCTATGTTATCACAGACACGGTCCTCCCATTGTTCATGGATTTGCTCAAGCGGGCCCAGTAACGTCTCCATCATGAGACTTGTCGTTACTGTGTTTGGCATATTGAATATGTCACGGGTAGCTAATAGCTTGCCAGGCTTTGCCCTGCGGGTGAGATACTCTCGGTAGCTTGCCAGGCTCTTCGAGAGGGGCGGAGGAATTGAACTGGCTCAGCTGGGCCAGCTGCACACAAGGCAAAACTATAAAATATCAATTTATGTGAAAATTGTTATATTTGATCACAGGGTTAAGTCCTTGTCTAAGAATTTATTAAGCTGTTTGTTGTTAGATGGACCTTCTGTATTATTACTTTTGTTTATTGAGTTTAGTTGGCTTCTATTTTTTTTTCCGTCTAATTTGGTGTGCTCCAACTAGAATTTCAGAATTGAGGAATTAGGAAGTGTTCAGAGACTTCAAGATCTATGGTCTGGGCCAGTGAGTTGACAAGGCAGTGGCTTTGGGAGGTTGGGGTGGCTGCTGAGGTTTCAGGAAGTATGGAGGTTAGGGGGAGGCTATCCACCCCTACTCCAAAAAATACAAACGTTCTCAGTCTAGGTATCAGGTATTTGAAGCAATTCTCAGTTTGGTATCTCTGCAGGCAATATTCATAAAGTGGTAGAATTAAGGTGGTTGCAGTGGTCGGGTGTGGTTGTAGGGCCAGGGCTTTGGCAGGGTGGGTATTGTGCCCATCTGTCTCCTGAAGGGGCCTCAGACTAATTCAGTCATTTTCACCTTTTGCAAAAGAGACTCATTCTCCCAACTGTGCTGGAAATGGGCCTTTGCATAGAGCTAGAAGCAATTGGCTCCTGTTTAAGGATGCCTAGTGTTAGAGCGGGAGGAATGGACACAAAGTAGATTCATGTCTGCCAAAACCCCACCAAGACTTAAGAGCTAAACTAATCATAATTTCTGCCTCTCCCCAGAGTGAAATTTTAAACCAATGTGGAATTTCTTGGTGTGCACTAGTGAGGTAATTCTCATGAAGAGACCTAGGCCTTCAAGTAAGAGAAGGGGGCTTTATTGAAAAGGGGGGCTTTATTGCAAAGAATCTTTTAAACCTAATGTTGCCCCTGTCTCTTCGGACTATAAAAATCTTGGAGTTTTGCATAACTTCTTGCAGTAACTTTTTACTGGGGCTGGATAGATAGCACAGCAGGTAGGGTGTTTGCCTTGCATGCAGCCAACATGGCCGACCCGAGTTTGACTCCTCCGCCCCTCTCAGAGAGCCCGGCAAGCTACTGAGAGTGTCCCGCCCGCACGGCAAAGCCTGGCTAGTTACCCATTATGTATTCGATAATGCCAAACACAGTAACAACAAAATCTCCAATGGAGATGTTACTGGGCCCGCTCGAGCAAATTGATGAACAACGGGAGGACAGTGACAGTGACAGATGATATATTGCTCAATTATTTTATTAATAAATTATTTGAAAGCCAATAAGCCCTTTGAATTTATTTGAATGGCCACCTAAGAATCACGGGAAGAGCTAAATAGAAAGGAAGGACTTTATTGCTAAGAAAGCAACGTATAAGTTGGAAAGTGACGCTGGCCACAAGATATAAGAGAATAATCTCGAGAAGAGAAGAGTCTGCCTCTATGGTGGATAGAGTTATGGTGATGCAACAATCTGTACACATTTAGGAGTGTTCCAGGGTATATTGTGTATACTTATGTGTAGGAATGCGTTCATGATTGAGAAACATGCCATAGGCACATGTAATCACACATCCCACATGTAGAAAGTGGTTGTGCTATGTCAGCAGGGTCGACTTTGCTTTGTTAGGTAAGCTTTTAGTATAATACTAGGAAGTAGTGATGGCCCATCAAGTATGGCCCTTGTAATCTTCAAT